CACATACAAACACACATAGACACACTTACACACACACACACAAACACACACACACACACACAGACACACACACACAATACACTCACTCAGGTTCGCCCCCCTCCCCCACAATACCTTAAAAAATTCAGCAATGTCTAAAAGGCAAAAATTTAATGTTTGACACGAAGAGGGAGAATACGCCCACTTCAACTGCGCACAGGAATTTATAAACAAAGTCCAAAAACACTTTAGTCGAAAACACACACAATTCTCTCTGAAGAAATTTCGCGGTTACGTTCCTTTCATTATACAGCTGATGCTTTATCTTGACTTGGTCTCAGTTTTTCTCTCTTCCCTTATAAGGACACACGTCTTGTATAATTAAGAATAGAGCAACGTTATCCATACACATTTGCCTCTGTTCACGTTTTCTTTATCTAAAATCTAATTTGACCGAGAACAGCATGCAAACTATGGAAAAGATCTATTCAAATTTGTGTTTCTGATTTGTATATAATCAATCATTCGAATGTGCCACAATTTTTCCTTTCGTCTGCTGTCGGAATATGTCCGCTACGTCCATATCACTTTTCGAGTTGGTTGTTGTGTGACACTTTAAAGAGTTAACTTTGAACGCACAGTCAGGCGTACGTAACTTGTGGCACTTACGGGAAAGCAGAATATTATTTAAGTAGAAGAAAAACAATAAGTGACACAAATGATGGCAATTTCCGAAATGTCTCTCTGGGTAAGTACATTCAGTTCTCGCAATTATTCCAGACGACACCTTTCCAAACTTTGTTTCACTTATCGGACCGGCTGTAAAAACATGAAGCACTGGTTAAATCAACCTGCCTTAGCGAATGGGCAAGGGTAGGACGGGACTTCCAGAAGGGATTATCCATACAACCTGAATGTAAATTATGAACACAAATGCATTTATCCTTTCTTTAACTTGCACGGCTAACCTGAATGTTGAACTAAAGTTGAGCTGTCAGACACAAGCTCTCAAGAGAGTGCAACTTATGGTATCATCTAAACCTGAAAGACTAATGGTCCTAGATCACGGTAACATTAACTTGTTGAAAAGAGAAAATTTTGACTACGAATAGTAATGCCTGTCGTACCATAGCTTTAAGTTATGAAATTTAGGATGATTTAAATGCTAAAAATGTCCACCAACCATCTACCATCTCAAACAATTTCTTAATTCTTTATCACCTCATTCATACTGAAAATTGCATGTGTCACAACGTATGGTTAGGCACATCAGTCAGAGCTAAGATGGAGACACTCAAAGAACTTGACTTCAGCAAGATGCTGTGATTGAAATTCCTATAGCCGAAGCCTGTTCAATAATATACTATTAGTTAAAGAAAGAATGAGGTGTTGTTGTTAGCACTACTGGGCGATGGGCAAGGTCTTTGAAAGAAGGAAATCCGACTGAGACAAAATTGAACGATCAAATGAGTTCTGGTTCGCCACACAGTGCTTTGAATTTGGTCAATCAAGATAGGGTAGAGGGCATGTTAAAGTTAATCAACAAGTTAAGTTAAAAGACTTTGCAAGTGAAGTTGGAATGTACACAATAACGAGTTCATTACATCGTTATGGATATCATGGGCTATAGGAAGGTGTCTGCCATGTAGATCTCTCGAATGCTGAAAACTGAAATGAAAGATCAGCGAAGCATGATGTCTACCGTACTTTTAAAACGTTTTGAACAAGACAATCATGTTTTCCTACTGGAAATTGTTACAAAGGATGAGTCATAAAGCAAACGCCAGTCGATGCAGTACAAGCATAAAAACTACCGGGGTCTGAAAAAGTTTAAAGTTGTGGCCTCAACAAGAACGTTGCTTACCACTTTTTAGGACAGGGATGGAATAGTCCACATGGAGTTTCTGGAGCAGGGGAAGACAGTTAATTGAGAACGATATGTTACAAAATTACTTAAGCTGAAAGATAGGCCGGGACGGGGTAGCCCTGGTAAAGATCCAAAACTGCAACATGACAATATTATTATGAGGCCTCCACATGAGTCGGCAGACTAAAATCGTTGTGTGAAGCAGCTGATTTGCATCCATCGTACACAGTCTTAGATCTCGCTTCTTTGGACGTTCCCCTTTCCCCATGGGCCGGGAACACAAGACAACAAGATAAAGAAAAATTAAATCGACTAATACGGAAAGCATGTAAAATTTCAACATCTTCATTCCCCTACTTGGATGAATTATACATAACAGCTTGCCCTAAGAAAATTAATTCCATCTTTTTAGACAACAAACATCCCTTGTTCCCTCAAATAAAAACATCAGTCAGAGGTAAAAGACCCATGCTTCTGATCTGTAACAAAGAAAGATACAGAAGGTCATTTTTACCATCATCTATCAAAATGCTTCCATCTTAACCATCTTGTTTAGTGTACTTACGACCTTAGAGCATGCATCAAAATAACATTGAGTGTGTATCTAGCTTACGATTATTATTGTTTATATTGATGCTAATTTATATTATGCAT